TGTGTTGTGTTGTGTNTGTTGTTGTTGTTTGTTATATATATATATATATATATATATATATATATGCTTTATTTGTTTTTGTTTTTTGTTTGTTTGTTGGAAATTATTGCCACAGACACTGAGAAAACCGCACTGCTAAGATTAACTCGTTCCGTTCTCGATCAGATCGCCGCTGTTTTAGTACTGCTGGTGTCTATCGGATTCTTGGGCTGGGCCACCTATCGCGGGATTGTAGCGGTCGGGTGGGTCAGACCGCGGGCTGAGCCTACCTTCGAAGGCGTAGACTTTCTACGGTTACAAAACGATAGTGATTCCTACGATGAAGACGAGGATATATTTGACCAAAGAAACAGCCGGGTAAGTCTAGATGCACGCAATGAACGATTTGAGCACAACATCACGTGGCAATAAGTATTTGATACCTATAAGTCTGTATGTCTTAGATTTCGATCGTCACAACATCCATATGTCACGGGAGGTGGAACTGTCTTTGAAATGTCATGGCCAACGATGAAGCTGTGCATTTGGTTGCGTGACGGTATATTCACAATGCCTTAGCATCGATTTTCGCACTGTATTGTCACACATTTTAATACAGCGACTCTCATTGGCCCGGCCTATCTTAAATACAGTAGAATTATTTTTAACGTGTTCCAAAATAGTCTAGGGATATAAAAGTATCCCCATGATCAGTGCAGTCCCCGTGGCTCATTTTTTTTGTGATGTCGATGGCAGTTGCTTATGCAACTGTGCTTCTGTTGTAACCTGAGATTTTTATAGAGTATGCGTGTCGCTTGAAGTTGAAGTTTAGTGGCTATACTAATGGATTTGAGCGATATGAAACCCTGTGCGCCTGCATGATTATGATGATTAAAGCAAATGATAGTCCACATGATAATTGCCGTCAATCAAAGAAACAAAGTCGCTGACCACACCTGATTGTATGGGGCATGAGAAGACGCTTCAATTAGCTTTCATTTTGAATCCTTTGCGCGATTTTGAAATGTCGCTACCTGGTGAGAGCCACATTCAATAACATTCAATTGTAAGTATATTTCTTCTTTCGTTTACAGGCTGCTCTAGGTGATGAGGATTTCTACGATCAAGATCCCGATGATCATGTAAGTTAATACTGAATAGCATTCCAGTGAGTTCTGGTGCGCTGCCTATCACGAGTGGCATGGGGGCTCACACTAAATTGATATATTCCGCACTCAAATCTGTTTAGCTTTCTCGAGGCTTTTAGTGGCTATCTAATATATTGAAGATCGACTTTCAATTCTCAGGAGCTAGGATTTTCCGAGGCGTAAACCTGAATGAGAAATGGCCACTTTGAGAAAGGCCGCTTTTGATTGACGGGAATATCCCTGATTTTTCGTGGAATCCGATTCCGTTGTATATAAAATTTAGATCGCCGACAGCCATCATAGAAACGTTACTGTATTCGCCTAACAGATACGGTGAGCAATTATACAGAACTTTAGTAAATATATGTATCGATGATTTCGTTCACATGTGACGCGTCACTACGAGGGCGATCGAATCGATTTGATAAACATGTGTAAGCAATTTGGACTAGATTTGGAGTGTCGATGCTCAGTCAGGAAAAAGTCAAGTTTTAATTCGGCACCTCATAACCTGCAATCACACCGTACGCGATCTTATGAAGTACTTGATAGTGTTTCACAGATCTCAGTAGTCAACCTGGATTCGCCTGATTTCTCAACGCAACAAACAGGCATGCTGGCTGCATGCACAGTTATCTCGAGTGCACCGTGGTAAATGAATTTTTTTTATATGCCTGGGACCTAAATACACGGAACAACCAAGAACATTATTGCAACAGCCATTACAGACAAACTGCTTGCATGGATGGGGCATTAGCTGTTTGGGCTACTCTTCTTCTGGCCGACCATCACAATGTCTAAATGCAGGGTATCCCAGCGGGATATCTGGTAGACCGAGCGGAAAGGTTTCATTATAAATGAATGCCAACGCATTCCCTAGCTAGCAATGAAGCACTAGCTGCAGTGCCACACGCGGGGGTATCACAAAAGTTTCTTTCGGCATAGCTCTAAAAACTCAGAATTTGTGAGTGATGGCAGAATGGTATGTAGAAAACGACTATTTCAAAAGCTGTGTGCCTGGGATTTACCACGCGAATCCAAGAATCGCATTGCAACTGAGATTACAAACAAACTGCTTATATGGAGTAGTGCTTGCTGTTTGGCTACGTCTTCTGGTAAACTATCACTATGTTTATATGCAGGGCATCGTAGCAGGTTATCTAATAGACTGAGCGGAAAGGTATCATCATGAAATGAATGCCAGAGCACTCTCTAGCTAGCAATGTTGCACTATCCCCGCGCAGTTTTTAAAAGACGAGAAATGTGTGTTTCTGAAAACCTGAATGATTTAAAAAATAGAACATACATGTGCATTTTATACAATACATGTATCCAACAGAAATATCATGACACTGTTGTTGCAATAGAAAGCATGGCACTGTTGTATCTGTTTCTTGTGGGTAAATTCAAACCATTGTAGCTTTCATAAGTAATGGTTATGACACAAATCAGCAAGTATTTAGGAATCAACAATATAACATCCATGTCGGTGTAATACGTCGCACCTTCTCGTCTTATAAAGCAGTGAGCATAAAACATGCAATCATACATACGTTCCCATCAAGTAGTCTTTACGTCAGCATTCACTTCAAAACTCACATTTTTTTTGATAGATAAATATATCGTTATCAACTGATATCCATAATCAGATGAGGATACAATACTTATATTTGAGATTAACGTCAACTATGAATTTTATTTAGAATTCACGTTTTTATTATATATTTTATAAAGTGATTGTTTACATGTATTTAAGCGACAACTTTTTCGTACATTTCTTCCAGTGCATTCATATACTCTTTGCACACCATATCGCTCTCCACCCCACATCCGGCATCCATGATACAACCAACTGTTACTTTTCCTCCTTGGGTAATAATAGAGAACCCCACACCACAATCGCCTCTTTGTGGCACCCAGAAGCAAAGTTTGCTGAGTTTATGCGTGCCTACATACATGGTTTCTGACGGCCCGGGCACATTCGAAACTGCTGCAGTGAGTTTCGATCCTATCATGTCCAATAGGGCGCCACAGAGGTGATTGTTCAATACCGTCGCGGCAATCTGTGTTGCATAGTACATGACTAGAGGCACAA